GGTTTTCAAAGTGCTGTTGACCTGAGCAAGCTTCTAACTGAGGCTGGTATTACCTTCACTATGAAAATCATAAACAGTGAAGTTATAAAAATTAATACAGCCAATAGCGATCATTACAGAGCTTTAATAGACACATTAAATACGAGTAACCTTTCGTACCACACTTATGAAAATAAGCAAGAGAGACCAATTAGAGTTGTTGTTAAGAAATTACATCACACATGGCCACCAGAGGAAATAGTAAAAGACCTACAAAAACGACAATATAAAGCCATTAAAGCTGACAAGAAATTCAAATGGAAAACTAAAAAACCACTAGATATGTTCATCCTAACATTTAGACAAGATGAAGATATAAATAGAATTTACGGCATAACAGACATACTTAGTACGAGAGTTGAAATCGAGCCATTAAGGAGTTCCAGATTAGTCCCACAATGTAAAAGATGCCAGGCTTACGGACACACGTGGAAATACTGTAAAAAGGAGCTAAGATGTGTAAAATGTATTGGTAAACACCTTACTAAAGATTGCCAAAAACCACCAGAAGATAAACCAAAATGTGTTCATTGTGGAGAAAACCATCCTGCAAACTACCGCGGATGTTATGTAGCTAAAAAATTACAAACAATAAGAAACGAGAGAACAAACAAAAACAATGTTATAAAAGCACCCCATAGAGTTATTGAAAGCAAAAAACTAAAAACGGCAGAGGTCAGTGAAAATAGAAGTTACAGCGATGTAACAAAGAATGCAAGGAGACATGCATCATCGCAACAAGAAAAAGAAACTGATATTACATTAAAAATGATATTGGAACAGCTCACCAAGATTGATGACAAAATAACTCAAATCGATATCAGAGTTACCCGACTAGAGCATAGCGCTAAAGGAGCTATTCCGAAAATCAGAAATGGCTACTAAAGACCTCCGAATAATGACGTGGAACGCAAATGGACTGTTACAACATCAGATCGAGTTGCAAGCAGTACTAGATATTGAGAAAATTGATCTGTGTCTTGTTTCTGAAACACACTTCACTAAACAGTCATATGTTAAATTTAGGGGGTATAGAGTATATTCTACTGTACACCCAGATAATGCAGCTAAAGGAGGAAGCGCTATTATAATTAAAGATAACATCTTGCATCATGAGGAATTAAAATATGCAACTGAGCACATACAAGCTACAACAGTCTGTGTGAAGATGAAAACACATACCTTAAATATAAGTTCAATATATTGTCCTCCTAGACACTCCATTAAAAGAGAGCAATATAAAGAGTTTATGAACACTTTAGGAAAAAGATACATCATCGGTGGGGACTTTAATGCAAAAAATACCCACTGGGGCTCTAGGCTAACTACAACTAAAGGAAAAGAACTATTGTCAGCTGTTAAGGAACAAAAGGGTGAAGTAATCTCTACTGGTAGACCAACATACTGGCCTACCGATAGGAACAAAATTCCAGACCTGATAGATTTCTTTATTTACAAAAATATCTCAGCTAACTATCTGGATATCAATGACGGCTGGGACATGAACTCTGATCACTCACCGATAATTCTAACTATGAGTGATACAGTGATTAAAAAAGAGTTCAATCCAATATTGACTAATAAGAAAACTGACTGGGAGAGCTTCAAAATAAACCTTGAACACAAAATTAATCTTGCTGTTCCATTAAGAAACACGAGGCAACTTGATGACGAATTAGAAGTTTTTATAAAAAATATCCAACAGTCAGCTTGGGAAAATACTCTCACAATAACTTCTAGAACAAAAGGGAACAATTATCCAAAAGAAATCAGAGAACTCATAGTAGAAAAAAGGAAGTTAAGAAAAAAATGGCAGCAATACAGAGTTCCACGAGACAAAACTAGTCTAAATAATGCTACACAAAAACTAAAAAGGGAGATACAGAATATAAAAAATTCAACAATTAATTATTTTTTAAGTAATTTAACAGCTGACCAGAACACAGATTATTCTTTATGGAAGGCAACAAAAAGATTGAAGAGACCAATTATTCATTCCCCTCCTATCAAGTTGGAAAACGGCAATTGGGCTAGAAGTAACGAACAGAAAGTAGAACGATTTGCAGATCATTTAGAAAGCACGTTCAAACCCAACGACAATGATAATGAAGAACTGAGATGGGAAGAACCATTCCAAACTGACGAAAGAATAACATTGACATCGCTTAGAGAAGTATCAACAGAGATAAAAGAGAATATAAATCCTAAGAAAGTTCCAGGATATGATCTCATAACAGGAGAATTATTAAAAAATCTACCAAGAAAAGCCATAGTTAAGCTGACACACCTAATAAATGCTGCTTTTAGATTGAGATATGTTCCCAGACTCTGGAAAGTAGCCGAAGTAATTATAATCGCCAAACCAGATAAATCTCCTAATGAAGTGACATCCTATCGACCAATATCCCTCCTTCCGGTGATGTCAAAACTATTTGAAAAACTTCTATTAAACAGATTAAAACCAATAATAGAAAGAAAAAATCTTATACCAAATCATCAATTTGGTTTCAGAAATCAACATTCCACTATATATATATATTTATATATATATATATATATATATATATATATATATATATATATATATATATATATAATATATATAAATTTACTTAAAATCCTTTTTAAAAGGATTTTATAAAGAATTTTTATAAAATCCTAATTATATATCTTTTATAAAGGATTTTAATAATTAGATACCTTTTATAAAGAATTTTAAATAAATTGTTTGCAAAACTATTAGGTCGCCATCAGTATGGTGCAGTTAAGTTGGGATGATAGAAAAATGTCAACTTGGAAAACGATCACTACAGATGTAGCTCCATGGAAGAAGCTACAGCTACCCAAGGAAAGGAATACCAAACGTTTCCAAAGTTTCAAAAAGAAGGAAAGGTTAATGGAGGTTCATAGTAAAAATAAACGATATTATTAGCATAGCTTGTAACAAGGAAAAAATAATAAAAATATGTATATCAGATAGAAGGCAACCATAAATACATATTTCTGGGGAATAGGTTGTCATCAGTACAGTGCAGCCAAGTTGGAATAGAAGAATGGTAACCTGGAAAAGGATCACTACAGGTGCAATGCGAGCAATGCTTGTTGCAAATCTTGCACAATGTCAAGTGTTTCCAATATTTCAAAAAACAAGACAAGGTTAATGTGAGTTGATAGTAAAATAAATGTAGATCTTATCATCATGGCTCGCAACAAGCAAAAATAATAATAAAATATCTCACATTAAACTTTTCTTGTTTTTTGAAATGTTGGAAACATTTGGCTGGTAGCCAAATGTTTCCAACATTTGAGGAGGGCTACCTGAGCTCTCCTCGGGTAGCTGTACCTTCTTCCTCCGTGGATGTGTTGCTCTGAAACCACAGAGTCCTCTAACATTATTGCCACAAATTGGTCACATCACTCCTGTAGTTTTCCTTTTCCAAGTTAACATTCTTCTATGCTAACTTGGCTGCACCGTCCCTACTGGCGACAACCTAATTGTCAGAAATATGTATCTACACTTGCCTTCCATTTTATATACATATTTTATTATTTTTGTTGTGAACTATGCTGATACTATATATACATATATATATATATATATATATATTATATATATATATATATATATATATATATATATATATATATATATATATATATATATATATATATATATATATATATATATATATATATATGTATGTATATATCAGATATCAATATCAGTATACTAGGCTTCGTGCTGTTCCGATAAGGATATATGAAGGAGCATTACTGAGTCGAAAGCTCCACACACTTTTTATAATTATAAACTACTGTGTTAATATTTTTATTTTTCTGCACAAAGGGCCAGGATTCAAACACATTTCCAGTAGAAAACTTTAGCAGTGAAGAGATATGAGGTTGACATCCTACCCTGCCCAGCTATCTGTCATATAAAGAAGTTTCAGCAAGGATATACCATTGACTGCTGACTAATAATTGACTTCTTTATTATACAAAATATGGCCAGTAAATTGTGAGGAAAACATAAGATAAATAAAACATGCCTTATTAAAACCAGAGTTTAATACAGAATGTAACATTTATATAACAAATAACAAACAGAAGATATCCCAAAAATTTATAATTTCAATGTAGTTATACATTTTTTAAGATCCTTACAACTTTAACAGGAAGCCTACAAGTAGGTATTTCTCCCTTTATAATTTAAAAATCTAATTATATTATATAGCAAAATTTGAAATATAATTGGCACAATACTTTAGCATTGGAATAAAGTTTACCTACACATAAATAAAAAAAAAATGTCTCCCTTTCATATCTCATCTTATGCTTGACAATAGTAGGTATATTAAACAGCAACATAAGTCATATTTTTGAGTTACAGGCATTAGAATATGGTAGCTGTTGGGAATAATAATTTTATTGCACTTTACTATGGGCTATGGAACATGACTTTTATAACTATGGCACAAAAATACTATTATTATTTATAATAAAACCTATTATCTATGTGGAAGCTATATGCTGATTAATTTTATATAAGTTTGATGATTAACTAGGACTACATATGTACCAAGAACACCAAATTAACCAAGAAATCAACAAGAATATCAGGAAAGTGTATACTCAAAACAAAAAGTAATGAAGAAAAAAAGTATGACTGTGAAAATTTAACAAGTAATTTAGCCACAGCTCTAATATATTATCAAAATTTTAATTGCCTTCTTTTTATTTTGTTGATTTTTCCAAAGATTTTACCTTAACCTTTCAATAAAATACCTATTTAACTACTTCTAGCATTTTTACAATCACCTTTAAATTACTAAATCATAAAATATTATAACTATAATAAGTATAGTTTTGTTAACTGAATATTGCCTATTTGTACAATGTAAAAACAAATAGCCCATAGTCAGTTACTGTTTCATTAAAGTATACTAATATATCTACTAAATTTACGTATGTCTAGGGCCTGTAATTCCAGTAGCTCTTCCGGCAATCCTCATGATCATTGCTATAGACATTAAACATACAACACCTGCAGGCATAATTTTTCCAGAATTGTAGAATCTATATCCCATAACACCAGCCAGAATTGAACTAGTTGCTAATTGAAGTGTGTAATTGGAAGGATCACGGCTTGTTTCTACGGCTCCATAGGCTAATGCACCACCAAAAAGTACACCTGCTGCTAAAGAAGGTACAGAACCTGAAATCAAATACATAATTTAATACCATCTAGAGAATTTTCTTTTGGTGCACTTTCTTTTAATCTTCAATTAGAAACACCAGTTTATGTAAGTGATATTTAGAAAATCTACAAAATTAGTATTTTATGTTTATACTAAATATATAACACAAAGTTTATATGTCTAGATGACTTTCTATCTTTTATGCAAATTATATACACCCACCTGCTTTATAATAACCAAACACTCCACCAGCCGCTACTAAACCAGCATACAAAAAACCGGGGATATCCATTTGAGTTTGTGTAATATAAAATTAAGGAAAAATGTGCAAAGTAAGTCTATATACTTATATCTTATACTACAGACAATGAGACAAATGATTGTGCAAGCTGAAAGTAAATTCTATCTATAATAGATAATTTGACGTATGTCATGTCAACTATTCACCTTTGACACAAAAACAAAAACATCATTTTCTATTGCAACATGAGCATGAGGCTTTAATATTAAAAGAATTTTTTATATAAATTAATATACTGTATACTGTGTAATATATAATGTACTATATTAATTACAAATATACTGTGCCTGAGATGTATGACCAGCAGTATTATCACTTAAGAATCTTATTTGCCACAAATATATTAGAACAAATAAAATTAATAATAGTATAGAGGTTTAGACAGCTAAAATAATCTAAATAAACATACCAACAATTTTAATCTTCTTGAGTTCCAGAATAGTATACACTATTGTTATTACACAAAAATTATTTTTAAAGGGTTGAAAAATTGACAGGGCGGTAAAATCAAACAGAGCAGACAAAACTCAACCTTATATGACAATTGAATAACAGGCATGTTTTGCAGTGGCGTAGTAGTTCTAACATAACATTAAATTTTTTAAATATATTTTGTATTTAAATTTAATTAAATAAATTATTTATTTAACATTACGTATAAACTAGTTAATGTTAAATTATAAAATTCCAATGAAAGATGTTGATAAATACGATTAGAAGAGCAAACCGGTGTACTATAGAACATTCAGAATATGTTCTAAGAACTTTGAAGCTAAGTTTTTGAAGAAATTTTGAGAGAAAACAATAATTCTAAATTCTGAAGCCCTGTCCAAAATTGTTATTTATGACCAAAGTTATTTTCATTTAGGTATTAGGTATTATTATTATCATTCATATATGTTAAAGTGTAGAAGTTTTAATTTTAAAAAGGTACATGTTTTGATTATCACAAAATCCACCAAGAAGTAATGCTTTGCTTTTCGGAAATCTACCAGTTTGAATATAAATATGTCAAAACTTCTAGCCAATCGAAACTCATTATTTTAAGTAAAGCACGAAAATTTGCAGGAGAAAGTGTGTATTTCTGGCGTATTAAAGTTACCTCCCGTGGCTTTAACAGGATGCAATTTTTACAGCTCTTAAAATGGGGACGAAATCCTGTGGCATTTTTAAAAGTAGCAAAAGCAGTAAAAAAAATTTAGAGCGCCACAAACATTCTGTAGCGTCGTATGTTGGGAAATAAAATAAAAACATAAAACTAAAAAAAAGTTACAATATGAAAAGTTGAGATATATAACGGGCTAAGTGACAAAAATTTGAAATCGATTTTTTCTCCAGTTTTGTGGGATATGTAGGCCATTAGCCTATATAATGAGCCAAGTAATAAGTGTCTTGAATATCTGCTTAAAGTATTGCTGAAGAATGTGCACTAAGTGAAGCGGTGTTGTTTCGATATAGTGGGCTATGTATGTGCACTTACTCAGTCGATGTTGTTGCGTCTGGAATGAATCAGTGTTGTTTTGGCGGTTAAAATCACATGTGGATTGTACTGGATGCTTTTAATTCTTAATTAAAATAAAGTTACCAATTTTACTTTATACAGTTAAAGATGAATACAACGAAACTAAATAAAAGGCAAAAAGGTGAAGGTTCCTGGCAAGGCGAACGAAAAAAGCTGCGAACTGCAGGAGAGGCCCACACAACAAAATGAAACAAACTTGTAGGGGCTAAAAAGCCTCCACCTGATAATGTAAGCTATATTACAGATTTCTATTTTATTAGATCATGTATCTTTTACTTAGTTTTCTCAATAACATAACGTAAGACGTAAGAGCTAAAACAATTTTTAATTGAAGGTGATTACTTGGCAACATCGTACTTAACGAAGCCCTTAACGATAACTTTTCAACGAAATCGTATTGAAATTATCAATTTTGCAGAGGCGTACCAAAAAAATTTTTAATTATTTATTTAAACACATAAGTAATTACGTAAAAATTAAATCTAAGACCGATTTAATTATTAAATTATCATGTCTCTTTTAACAGGTATCTTATAGTTGTCTAACAAAATAAAATAAAATTTTATTCTTATTAGAGAGTATCTAATACAGAACTTCAAAAAACAGAAAACTTTGGAAAATATTTTTTTTTTCATTAGACTAAAAACAATCTGCAATTTTAATTACACATAATTACACATCATTCTCTATTTATAGAATTGCTGTGTGCTGTAAACGTTATATTTGTTTTTTTTTAAACTTAATTTGAAAGTTTGTTGTGTTTATTCGTTTACATAAATATGAAAATATATTATGAAGTTCATATAAATTAAAATGAAGTAAGCTAAACTATTATCATATGAATGTGTTTATATAGCAGTGCATTTGTTTATTTCAGTAAATTCTCGAAATATGAAATGAAGATGGCACTAACTACTAAAGAGTTAATAGCTTTGTTAGAAGAAGACTCAGATTGTGAAAATGCCACTTAATGTGGTTTATTTGCCGCCGAGATTAGATTAGAAAGTTTCTGATGTAGAAGACATTGATCTTCTTCTTCTTCTTCCTTCTAGTTTGTAGGCTTTAAAGCCTGTTTCTTCTTCAATATTAGCTTCCTAAATTGTTTAAATTGTCGCAACATCTTTTTCTTGGTCTGCCAATACTTCTTCGTCCATTTGGTGACTTATCTCGTGCTATTCGTACTATTCTATCCTCCGCCATTCTACTGATGTGTTTGTTCCACTTTTGTTTTCGTTTTGTCACCCATCCATTTATGTCTTCTATATTGCATGCTCTTCTTATGTTTTTGCTTCTCTCCCTATCCAACAGACTTCTCCTTGATATTCGTCGGAGTATTTTCATCTCTGTTGTTTCTAGCAGTCGTCTCGTTTTAGATGTGTCAGGTCTTGTCTCAGCCGTGTATATAGGTCTAATTCCTGCTTTATAGATTCTTGTTTTTGTGTCTTGTCTTAGGTGTTTGTTCTTCCAGATTGTGTCATTAAGAGAACCCGCCGCTTTACCTTCTTTTAAGCTTTGCTGTCGTACTTCTCCTTCAACATCTCCGTAACTAGTTATATCTATTCCCATATATCTAACCCTTGCTTCCGGCTTTATTATTTTTCCATCAATTTCGATTTTACACCGTAGTGGGTATTTAAATGTCATACATTTGTATTTTTCCGCTGATATTATCATATTGTATTTCTTAGCTGTTGTATTGAAGATATGTGTTAATCTTTAGAGCTCATCTTCTGTCTCGGCGATTAATGCGGCGTCGTCTGCATAACATAATATTTGGATTTCTTTGTTCCCAATTCTGTAGCCATGACTTTTACGTACTACTTGTATTATTTCGTCCATTAATATATTAAAGAGAAGTGGGCTTAACGAGTCACCTTGTCTCCGCTTTGTACTGGTATACACTGTGTTAGTTTTCCATTTATCTTGCTTGTATTGATATGCGGTAGATGCTTTCGATGGTTTGTATAATATTGATTGGTATGTTCCTTTTATACAGTAGGTGTAAGACGTCTGCGACTTGGATGCGATCGAAAGCCTTTGTCAGGTCTATAAAACATAGATATGATGGCCTTTTCTGTGATTTGTCTTAGTACAAATACGGCGTCTACGCAGGATCATCCGGATCTGAATCCTTGTTGTTCATCTGATAAAGTTGTTAGTTTATTGATTTTGTTGGTTAGGACTTTTGTGGTAAGCTTAAGTGCGGTGTTCAGTAGATTTATACCTCTATAAATGTTGGGGTCTTCTTTATCTCCTTTCTTGACCATTGGTATCATTATGCTGTTTCTCCATGCGTCTGGTATCTTGCAGTGCAATATTAGTTTTTGTATAAGTTTTGTCATCTCTAGGCTTAAACTTTCTCATCCGTATTTTAGAAGCTCGTTGGTTATTCCGTCTGGTCCTGGTGACTTTCTATTTTTGAGTGAATTTATGACTATTTCTACTTCGTGAAAACTGATTTCTATTTCGTCTCTTAGTTCAGGTACGTTATTGTGTTGATTATTATTTTCCTTTGCTTTAAACAGTTCCGTCAGGTATCTTTCCCATTCGTTTGCTGGTATATTATTGTATTCCTTGAAGATATTGATGATAATATTATTTGTGAAGAATCAATAAAATCGGATATTGCAGGTACATATGAAATACAAGTGATTGGGAATTCTAACGATTCTAATTATGATATTCCTCTGAACCACAGATAAAACGTCCAAAGAAAAAACCAATAAGTAAAAATAAGCAAAATAGTAAATCCAAATTTATCTCAAGTTATAATAACGGATATTCTTTCGTGCTCAGTAGTAATTCAACATCAGTCTGATTGATATTTAGACAATATAAAAGCCAACCATGTAGGCAAGTCATATATTGAAGTTTTTTCACTCTTTTTGATAAAAAAGTAATTGAGAATAACCGTCACAATTTTGAAATGAATAACATAGATTTAAAAAAATTATTAACATATGTATATTATCTGGTTTACACTCTGCTTCAAGTTGATATGCATTGGTCAAAGGATGAGGATAAAGAAGTGCATACTATAAGAGAAAGCATGAGCCGACATAGATTTATAATTTTAATTTATAATAGTGAAGAAACCGCTACATCAGTGTCAGTACATGGGCGTCAATCTAAATTTGCTTTACCAGATGAAACCAGATTCGACAATATTGGCCACATTATAAAAAGAGACGATAGTGCAAAAATGTAGGATGTACAAAAGTAATACTATTTATTTATCTAAAAAGTGTAGAATGCATCTACATCCCGAATATTTCGAAAATTTTTACCTTAAAATTTAATTTACGTTTAAGATATAATATGTTCCTTTATTAAAAATTGTACTGTTTTCCTTAAAAATGAGAAAAAAAATCTTTCTGGTTGTAATTTATTCCTAATTTGTGTTTTTAATCCAATCTAATAAATTAATTGTCAAATTTCTCTTTGTATATTGAGCGGCCGTTAAGGGTTT